ACACGTTCCCAACAGTGCTGATACTAGCGGCACCGAACACAACGTGACTGAACTTACATCCCAAGTGGCCTCCAACCCCGGGCCCGACCGGCCGTCGCAGGAGACCAGCGACGAGAACGACGAGAACATCAATGCTTTCTAGCTGTCCATATGCCAGGGGTTCATGGAATCCACGGCGCAAGCCCAGCTTAACGCGGACATTTCCTTGCTTTGAAGAGTCCTGGCCAGACTCTTCGTCCCTGACGAGGAACCTCAGGCCCAGGCGATACGAGTGAAAGCTGCTTTCAGGCTTGGAGCCAAACGGGAGGGCGGCCGCCTCCGTCCACTGAAAGTCGTTCTTGGGTCGGTGGAAGAAACCAGGTCCGTATTTTAGAGCGCTTCTGCCTAAAAGTGGAACCCTTCAGTCTACTAAGCGACCTCGACGCTGACGAACGACAGAAGCTGAAGCAGGCATTAGCCAAGCTCTACGAGCGTCGAGCCAATGGTGAACAAGATCTCTTCAACCGGGATTTTCGGGTCCAGTGGAGGCGTCCACATTTATGAGGGAGCCCTCTTGCAATACCTGAAGGAAGGACGCGCCAACGGCTGCCGTAGACCGGAGCAGGATCCTGACGGTCAGGGAGAAGCGTTGTGGTGCAAAACCAAACTCCGTGGCAGCGGCTACAAGACGATCAGAGTCCCCTACAGACGGCCAGCGACAGACCCGGCGACCATCCTGGACGATATGCGTCGACAGGCTAACGACAGTAACCATCTGATTTTGGGTGATTTCAATGTACTTCTAATTGACTGGGACGAAAATCGTTGCCTGCTGGGAGCTGGCTGATTCTCCAAAAACCTTCTCGCAGTCGTGAACCAGTTGAACCTGCATCAGCATTTCCACGAGCCCACCAGAATCAACGATTCTGCTCAGTCAGGCTTTAATCTGGTGTTATCCTCTCAAATGTTGGACGTCGACGCCATCGACCACCTCCCACCACTTGGTTCGAGCGATCATCCGACCTTGATGGTCCATTGGCGCAGTGAAACTTCGTATTGTTCTCGATCACATGTCTGGAAAGCGAACTATGATGGCATGAGGATCACAGCACAGTTCCCCCTGAATAACCACCCTCAGGAGTCGACCTCAACTGGACTACCTTCTGAGACAGCATTCTCGAATTGGTAACAGCCCTTTCTCCACCTAAACGCTTCCGGTCACACGCTATGGTCCCCCCTGGTTTGACCACGAGCTCCTTCAGATGCTTAAGCATCGAAATAGGGTGTGGAAAGCGTTTCGCGCTCATGAATCTAATTTTGACCAATACAAAGCGCTGCGTAATGCTTGTTCTTCAATGAAATCCAGAAAACGACTGGTGTACGCGGATTCTCTGGCATCTGAAGCGGTCACTATGCCAAAGCGTTTCTACGCATATCTCCGTCGCCACAAGCGTGCAGTGGCTGATATACCGTTCTCGGAGATTAATAGTGCCCTGACGGAAACGGCTGTTGACAAGTCAGAAGGTTTTGCGCAACACTATGCGTCCATATATGCTACATCATCGAGCCCCCGATTGTCGTGCTCTGTGCCTCTACTGTCTAGGCAAGCCATCTCGATGGACAAGGCGCGTGACACACTTTCGGTCTTGAAACTGTACCAGTCACCGGGTCCTGATGGACTGCATTCTATCGTGCTGAAGGAGCTGGCACCAATCATTGCACCTACCTTGGCCGTTTTGTTCAAACAATCATTAGCCGAGGGGAGATTACAAGCCGAGTGGAAAACCTCGATTGTACGCCCTGTCTTCAAGAGAGAAGAGCCCGTAGGGACCCCGCCATCTACTGCCCGGTCAGTCTCACCTGTGTCACCATCGAGGTGATGGAGTGTGTACTCGCCAAGCGGCTTCGAAAACACCTATCGAACAATCATCTGTGCCCGGAGTAGTGTGGGTTCCGTCCGCAGCGATCTCGCGTCTCAAATTTGCTACCTGCTCGGGAGCAATGGGCATCTTCCAGGGCCGCTGGCCACGAAACGAACGTCATCTTCATTGACTTCAGCAAGATATTCGATAAGGTGCCACACGGATGGTTGTTGAAGATGCTGATGGCTCATGGTGTTGCAAACCCTTTACTACCCTGGATTGAGAATTTCTTCGTCAGGCGGACGTTTACTGTCAGAGTTGCCCAGATAGAGTAGCGTCGATATCCTGTCACCAGTGGAGTGCCACAGGGTTCTGTCCTAGGACCTGTACTCTTCGTTCTCTTTGTGAATGACCTGCCCTCTCAGTTAGACTTATCTTGACTACTCTATGCAGATGATGTGAAAATGTGGCGAGCCACGAGAAAACCGGAGGACCACCATGCCCTCCAGGAGGATTTGTATAAGGTGCACCACTGGGCTGATGTCTAGGAACTTACAGTGAGTTCGTCGGAATGCGCTCATATGCGCCTGGGAGGGGAGACATCGGACATTCCTTATCCGATGAACAACGTCCCAATGCTTTCGACGGCTACCGAGTGGGATTTGTGAGTCATAATCTTCGCGTCCAGGGAGACCAAGATGAACACCGTGCGAGCATGTTCTGAGGCAAGGAGCATGCTAGGTGCCATCCGTCGGCCATGTGACGGTCTGTCGTTCACGGCATTCAAGAAGTTGTTGGTCTACCATGTTTACCCCTGGTTTGATACGGTGAACCCGCTGTATACCGCTTTATGAAGTGTCCATCTTCGAACGAGTACAGCGCTACGCCACTCGCCTGGTCGCGGTACTCCGCGGGATCAGCTACGAAGGTCGGCTCCAGGCACTCTACTCGGTTATCTACAGGAGACTCCGTGGGGATTTGATCTATCTGTAGAAGATTCTTTGTGGCGATCTAGGACAGGAACAACGTGCTATGTTCCCACTGCGAGAATGCTACCGGATGCGCGGTCACAGGCTCACCCTCCGAAAGCTGGAGTCGACAGAGCTTCCATTGGTCTAATGCCTTTCCGGGAGGGCAACTTCTCTCCGGAATTCACTCCCGTCGGTGGTTTTGGAGGAGCAGAACGAGGAGCGAGTTAAAAACTGCCTCGACGAGCACTTGGTGCGACGGTGGCAACTTACAGACAACTGAGCGGATTGCTATCGGTACCGGCGGTGATGAGGCTCATACAGGGTGCGGCGCCTCTGCCTTCTACACATCAAGATGAAGATTATCGCAGGCCATCGAAAGAACTTACTTTGCTGCTAAACTCTGTCTCTGCTTTAATACAAATCCTATGCTGCAGTTGCAACCAAAAGACAACTTACCTAGTCAGTTTACCTCATTTTGTATGTACTCTTATTCGTATTCTTGTGGTCAACCACTACAAAACGAAGCTTACTCATCGAGTCTGTGTATGCGTCGACCGATTGCATTTAGCCAGAAATCATGGATGAATTCTACAAAGGTCCCTATTAACTGCCCTAAGGTAGACGGATATCGTAGTAGTCGCCGGAAAATTCAATGTTGAAGTGGGATACCTGGACGAATTAGAAACTCCTGACACGAAAGCTCGAGTAACTAGACGAACAACGTAGACCACTTGCATCAATATTCCGAGGAAGCACGAGTTATTCCTGTCAACCAAAATTCACATATTCACAGTGATGGATTCAAATTGACCACATCGCCTTCGGCCATCCATTAACGACTGCTACTTTCACTGATTAACACGTGCCAGATTCTACGCCTGGTAAACTACCGCACAAAAACCATCAACGCGAGTACCCTGAATAATAAAGAGAAGCGAAATTTTCAAACTGGTCTTCGATGCGGAACTCTCTGACCAACTTTCAGTTCAGCCACCACAGGAAGGACTCGGTGAGGCTAGTTAAATGTGAATTAAAACACTATTGAGTTTGGGCTTGCAGTAAAACGCAAACAATGGATCTACCCATCTTCACTTGTCCTACTGAACGCCCGCAGGTTCATTCCACCAGGTGCCCAATTGTGCACAGCGCGCAAATCCATTCATCTTTCATTTTATGCTTTCAGGCTTCGGAAGCTGGATATCCCCCCAAACGTAATTTTCAAATTCGTGGTAGCATGCATCCTCCCTCATGGGCTGTACTGTTTCGCCGGATGTTTTCCCGACCTGAAAGAAAAAGATCTCATACTAATTTCCAGATCCATGAAACTCCTATCCTATCCCAATGTGGTGGCATGGTCAGAGATGTCTTGGTTGATTTTATTGTGTGCAAACATATCAACGCGTGTGAAAGGATAGTCGACAGAATATTGAACAACCATGTCACCCCCTTCTCCCTTCCGTACTCGCTTCCATTATAGGCTCCTTCCGGCATGCACCATCACATACAGAAACAGTATTCCTCCTTTTCTCGCTCGCTTCTTTTATGAATCAGGCACCAATTGTTACAGGTTTGGTTGAGCACCTTATAAGTTAGTTTATTTAATTATTTTAACCTATCGCTATTGCGATCTGGTTCGCAGTTTGCTGTAGATTTGTTTACTCTCTGATGCGACCCCCACCAACTCCCGACCCCGAGTTCCACAGTATTGTCGTGAAAAATATTCACCTCTCGGGTGCACATAGTTCACTCTGACTTGACTAGAAACGCCAGATGAATGAACATAAGAAGTGGCGAATACGAGAAACTGTAGATATAGATACAGCAGGTTGCAGCTAGCGGTCACGGTTGCAATCTTGCCCGTTTTATTAGCGGCAAGGACTCAAGGAAAGTAGATGTGAGGTAATTAATTAATACCAGTGTTTCATCTAAAATGGAGTTTACCCCAGAAGTACGTTATCCCAAAAGCTTGTCTTTCAGTGCGGCTTTTATTAATGGAGGGTCAGCATTGGTTTGGGAGTTTATGAAATTCATGGTTACAAGTTGTAAATCCGATTCTTCAGAAAAGTGACAGGTCCTCTTGTAAAATACGGAGGATCTAGTTTAATCGTTTCTAAACTAGTCGTCCTCCATTGGTCGTCTGCCACAGGTGAAGTGTAAACGCGTGAAATGTGGTCAAGGTTGTATCGATCACGTTTTCACTCTTCGTCAAATTCCAGAGCATCGATATTCTTTCCATTAGATCTACCATCGCTGTCTCCCTGGAACGGAAAGCTGTCTTCGATTTCGTACACCACTCTAAATTCTAGCGCTACATTTCTCTGAGAGGTATGCTGGAGAAGTGTACTTCTGGGTTGCTCGCTGTCTTCTTCCTTGTATAACTTTAGTATAGCTTTGATTCTGAAAACACCCCTGTCCTCCTGAGAGAGTATTGGCATCGGTTTACAGACTGATCTGGGAGTATGCAGACAAATTTGCGCTTCCAAGTGACATTTCACTTGAGCGACAAGTTTTTTTCGGGGTAGTTTAAGTGCTGGTATAGCCATATTAGGTATGCGTTTCCACCTTCGAATTGTGAATTGTATTGCGACAAGACTGGGTTGACTCAGCCCCCATCCTCATTCTAACTGGGGAGGTAGTCGAGGAAAGGGGCACACTTTTCTATTTGGGCAACTACATCTCACCTGGTGGACACAACACGGATGACGTGTCGGCAAGCTTACACAATACAGATTGGTTTTTACCAACTTGAGACATATGTGGCGCCGTCACGACAACTAACTCTCTGTAGAAAGTCGAATGTATGTTTCAGCAGTTCGGCCGATGCTGCTTTACCTCGCGAATAGTTGACTATTCCTGGCACTGGATGAAAATAGACGGTGGGTGTTCGAACACCGTTGTCTAAACAGCATTGCAAAACTGTAATGGGGCAACCGACCCAGTAATGCTGAAGTTAGGGACAGAGTTTAAAGTAACCGCGGTCGCTAGTTGGGACATGTGTTGCGCATGTCACAAAATAGGTTGCCACTGCGAGCGATATTTGCCGAGGCCGGTTGTGGTTGGAGAAAAGCCAAATGTGGTCCAACTCAAACCTGGCTTAAAGATATGAAAACCCTTACCAGGAAACTTGGTCATGTTTGGTCACGTTTGTATGGGAAATCGGGATCGTTGTTACCGGTAGTTAGAGCTATTGAATGATATAGCTGAGTGTTGCAAACTGTGGCGCTCAAGCATGTACTCATTATCCTTACCATACGTAAATTCGCTTTCTTATCTTTCGTCCTGCTCTTGACATTCCAATCTTCATTCTGCTATTTTATTCAAAAAGGCAATCAAAGAAAGTAACCTAAACCATCGCACGAGTGTGCAGATTTAATTGTTGTGACGGCTGGTACCGAAATGATCATTGGTTCTCGTTAACTTCGTTATCTAGAGTAAGTGATACAAAAATTTATAGAGCTGCTCCTTGTTGAGTTGATATTGCGCTTCGAGGAGAAATAAGCTGGTTGTGTTGTTGATCTGGACAACTGTGATGAGTCAAGCTTCCCAGATGACGCCAGTAAAGCGCCTACACGTTAAACCTTCTGGACTAAGAAACACAGGCCGACTGTACCGAACAATGAGAAGCCGTGCCACCCAGACAGATACTGAACAACGTCAGAAATACTATCACACGTTTAATAGATGCCTGAATGACCAATGAACTGGTTTTGATTTCTTGATTTCTTGCAATAAGTGAAGTGCTATTCCTGTGGCCTTCTCCTTGCGTTTCGGTTTCGTGCGATACTGTTGTGGACGTGCGAGTGTGATTCAGTGCTTCCGTGGCGTCCGTGATTTTTGATACGTAATTTGTAATTCAAGATCGGTGCATAATGCTACTACTGAACTGACTTAGTCTACTCTCATCACAGCGATGTTTAGCACAACCGTGGGCTCCAAGACCAGATAGAAATAGAAAGCATGACGGGTCTTGCTCATGGGAATCAAAGAGAAAACAGTGACAAAGGTCGGCAGAAGTATACTACAGCAGTGAATTCCCGAATAATGTCTGTCACCGAGACGCAGGAAAAAGGCCACAGAAGTAATGGTTCATTTATTGAGAGAAATCAATGGGCTTATGTAATGAGTAAATAGAAATATCAATGGTCACACAAATATCAACCAGATGCCATCCTTGATCTTTGAGTCACACGGCTCCCGTTTGAACTGTATGGCTATTGATTGATCGATCCTGATAACCCACGGTTCAATTTTCATGAACTGGAACGCATAGACACTTGGCTGAGGTCATCACAGCGGATCAACTCACCACAATTGGTGTAACTTTAGACTTACAGTGAAAAACTACTTCTTAAAGGACCGATGAGCGCTTAAAGGTTTAGGAGAAACTGTGTCATGTTAGATAGACAAACGACTATTTCCTCGGAATGGTAGATGAAGCAATCGGATAATCTTTTTAAAGACAAGCGAATTTAACAGTTAGTATTGCTTTATTTATGATCGGTTTGGTGCTGGCTGGTGAATCCGAGAAATAAGTATAGTTCTTGAAATATTGTTTTGACTGTCGTGAGCTAATGTTCAGTCAAATGCATGCTTGATTCGTCATAATCCACGATATACTGATAATAGGAAGTGAAATGATTTTCCTTTGAGAGGTTCGGTAATACAAATCTTTGCAAATGGAAGAAGTCATAAGCGATAGTACGGGGATTCTCTTTCACTGTTCTTCTCCAATGATTGCCTAATTGTACAGACAACGCTACTGTAGAGCTCTAATGTGGTATAAAGAACTGGATGAAGTAAACGGCGAGGACTGTGGTTGGATTGGGACAAAAGACCTCTGGACCAATTTCGTTGTGACATACAGCGAGTGATCACAGACATGTGCTGGCAACCAGATGTTCTGTGTAGCTGAGAATGGCAGAAATTAAAGACTGCATGGATAGAATGGATGAGATTTTCACTGAAATGTCACTCATTGACTTTCACCGTCAATTTGTCCCAAGGAGTTAAACAGATACATCTAACTCCCAGTAAAACACATCCCACCACTCAAAAATCTCACTTCCCGGTCGCTCGTCGACCTGGGTAATCGGGAGTATCAAAGAGCTTCGTGTACGACTGACATTGGCTAGGAATATCTGCTAGAACCTGAAAATTAAAAATACGATATGAACAACCTCTTAGGACAGGAAATGTATTTGAAACAATAACATTGAAAATATTTGTGGATTGAACAGTAAATAAGATTAGCTTAGATCAAAATCAGGTTTTAATGTAATCTCACTAGCTACAAAGTCGGAAAGGAAAATCTCAACAAACTAAGCACTCCATTTGACAGACTTAATTAGGATTTGATTTGAGCCGGAGTGGGCTAAGAATAGGTATGGGCTTGATTAACATAGGAGAAGACGTGAAGCTCACAATGAGCAGTAATGTTTTGTTTCTCGTCTGGACGTCGCACCTCACCAGCATCATCATCATCATAATCATCATCATCATCATCATCATCCGATTCATCATCATCATCAT